GCCAAGTTTTCTATGGTCGTAGACAAATATGTATGTTTTCTTTTCTGTATTAAGGTCCAAACACTGACACCAATCGTTTTAAACTATGGTCATGTATTCAGAACAACTAAATCAGTTATCATACTGTGTAGCAGCTTTGTAGTAGCAGTTATTCCACTTTTTAGGATGGTTCAGACAGGTCAGAATTTCATCACTAACTAGCATCTGAATGAAATAAAATATGAATAAAAATAAATCCGAAAATAATGGGGATGATCGAATACTGTGATACAACAACATACAAGACTCTGCTTTGGAGTAATTGAGAAAAAAGTAATGTAACAAGTATTCCATTTTCTATTTTCTGCATTCCCAATCAGTCAGTCATTTGGAGTTAATATTCACCAAGAAATTTAATGTTGAGGGAAGTTGGTACTAAAATAACTACAGCAATGATTCTTACCGACAATAGTCAAAATTAATAATATAAATCTTCGTTAAATAGATTGCGAAAGCCTGCGATCAGTATAAAGCAACAGGTTGAGCTTAAATAATTTGATAACTCCTAATGATGAGACTAATTTATAAGCTTGACGGCAAAAATTATGAAAATCTTTTCAAAACAGCCTAAAACAAGTTTGATGATGCAGAAATGTGTCCGAGAAATTGGAATGTAGTGAGATTTGCTTATCTTTGCTAGTTTTGTTTCGGTAGATAAAAAAAATTTAATTCTGTAAAAGATTCATAAGAAACAGATAAAGTTGTATACCAAAATGAAAATATTTTCATCATTCTAAAACGTATTTAATTTGAAGGTAAGTTGAAAACACTATTACTGTAGTGTATTTGTCCATAGTATCTGTTATCATATGGTCTTTCTGATTGTGGTGGACTGAACTGGATCATGCAACAAACTATGAGGAGCGAGAAGATGGGCGTACGTTGTTTGACAGAGTGGGAAAAATCTAGAAAATTTGGATTTCGCCAATAATGATTTTTGTCTAATGTTTTATGTCGCAAAAGCTTCGAGATCTTCAGGTGAAAACCAACAAGTTGGTAGAAGAGAAGTGGCAGGGGCAGCGAAGATGGGACTCCCTCAGGTGAACGTAGAGAAGATAGAGGTGATGAAGATACCCACCACCAACACCAACAGCAACGACAAGCACTAATCATCATCAGTAAGAGAAATATAAAGAAGGTTTTCTCTGTCACCTACCCACCTAACGAAGAAGCATCGTTTCAACTGCAGGCGGCACAGGCACACATGAGGACGTCAAAGTCAGGATCGGAAAGACAGCAAGACAGGCCTTCCTTGATTAACCTGAAATCAGTGTGGAGATCTACTGCACTGCACTTAGCATAAAAAACAAGACCCGGATTATCAACACTAATTCAAGTCAAATCAATGATTCTTCATGATGGTTCAGAGACCTGACGCCTTACGAAAAGCATTACCAACAAACTGCAAATATACGTGAACAGCTGCCGTCTACCTTCGATGCTGGAGATCAGTTGGTTAGGAAGAATATACAAGGAAGTCTTTCCTGACAACCAACCAACCAAGAACTTATCGACCAACAAATATACAGAAGGAAGTGGAGATGGATTGGCCACGCACTGAGAAGGCCGACTGGGGACATCATGCGCTAGGCCAGGCTTTCGAGTGGAATCCAAAGGGGAAACGACGAGTTCGGCGTCCGAGGTGAGAGTGACATGGGGGAGATGGTGTGAGGAAGAAATGAAAGCTTGTGGGCAATCGTGGAGCCAGGTTGACAAGATTGCAGAGAAGAGAGTGGAATGGATACGTGCTACTGAAGCCCCATGTTCCACTAGGAACCCAAAGAAGAAATGTTATAATAATAATAATCTATTGCCAGATAAATAGTTTTAAACTTTCACATAAAGAGATATAAATGAAAACCAACATTAGTTAACTAACAAATGACAGCCATGAACCACCCAAAAGAAATATATTTTACTTATTTTGTTAACTGTTTAGCAAATAAATGTATATTTTTGCCATAAAAACGTTAAAGTGAAACTCAGTAAGCTGAATGTATTTGGAGGTGTATGGCTTGTAAGAAGATTGATAAAAGGTAGATTCAATTTACAGGTTTTTGGGGATTTATCAATTTTAAATTGATATTGATCATGGAGACCCACTGAAAGCATAGGAGTACTTGACTGCTGTTTTTTCCTGGTATTGGACTGTTAACCTGTGTGCACCCGTGATCCTGCCAGGGAACTACTGTCCAGCGTTCATTAGTGACTTGCTTCCGATGAGATTTCACGAAGTTGTAATGATAAATCATGACTGGTGTGGAAAACCGGTCAGATATGAGAACAGGTACTCAACAGTGGCACTGGATGATTGCGAATTAACAGAAGTAGGGAACTGTGGATTATTGGATTCAGACCTAGTGGCTCAATGGCGAAGTTCTGGGTTCGATCCCTGGTAGGATGAATTTATGGGTGGACTCCGCTAAGTCCCTTATTGAGATGAAACAACTGTCCATGCTCCTAGCTATTTCGGGGGTCTCCAACTGATATGAACCCATGATGAATACCAACTTGTAGAGGTAGATTGGCAGATGAAAAACACATCTTTTACAATCCATACCCATATTCTTCAATGATAGTGGTCTGATAGTTTTCTTGAGTACTTCTTAGGAGCACCACATCGTCACTAAGACAATTTTTAATTCTGGATAGCTTTCTGTTGCTATTTTAAAGCGATTCGGTTGTTCTTATTTGTATAATTAATTATTATTCTTGAAGCGTCTCAATTTAATAATCCATTGCATCTAATTCCATTTGTAGTTTTAAGCTGGACATAGAGCAAGTTATCTGCGAGCCCAATTAAAAAAGCTCATTTATGTAGAGTGAAGAATTCGGTTTTTACTTCCATTCCACCTCTTCGTATGATAAATAACACGAGTTAAAAAATTCAGACTATATAGGATTGTACCAACGGAAAAACTGATTAAAAATGTTGCACAGATATAAATAGATGAGTAACTTTAATCTTAGATACGCATTAAGCACCCATTATTTTTTGAAACTAATTATCGTGAAATCCAAAAAAAAAACGATAACTGAAAACAGTTGATGATAATGTTGATAAAAATAAATAAAACAGTATGTAGAAGACAATAAAATTTACACTAACAGAGTAAAATTATTTTATTTCACGGCTTTTTAGCAGCCGAAAGGATATTTAATTTCAACAGATAGCAGAAAGATTCAAACTTACACTGAAAAGGACTACAGCTTGAAAGAGTCGTTAAAGCTCAAAAAGGTTTTAGTGTCGTTACTTGTATTAGCCCATTGTTGATTGGACCAACAACACTAAAACCGTACCCGGAGTGCAAGTAGTGGATAACGTGGTTCGGTGATCTGACTTCTAGAGCTATCGGTCCTGAGTTTGAGTTCTGGCGGGAAGAACACTCACTGGAAGGCAGATACATCCAGTAGACGAGTCCCAAATATGGCGAAACGTGTATCCTGCACTCCGCTGCAAGTCATTATTCATCATCAGCTTATTAGTTTATTTTGAAGGCAATAGAAAATTCCAAAGCGTTAATTGCAAACGTATCTGAGAGTGTACATTTGTTTGTGATAAAAGTTGTATGTTAAGGATTAATAGTAAAATCTCAAAGGCAGTTTACTGACCATCCTGTTAAGGACTTGCTATTTAAGTGTAAGCTAAGTTCTGAACAGTTTATCTATGGAAAATTCTATTAAGAAGAGGTGTGAAGTCAGTTTTTGTCAAGAAAATAGTTAAGACCTAGTGAATTTATCTCAGTTAGCAGAAGTGATTTCAATAAAATATTTTCAACCTAAGATTTAATTGTTTTATCGTAGAACTCAAATTACTCTGTGTTTTTAAAGAATTAAAGAATGTGAACGATAAAAATGTTATCTCTCGATGATATAATAACGGTTTGTATGTTTTGTGGATTCAGGAGTACGAGCGTAAATTTCAGAAGTTCAACCCAGTTTTCGATCAAAAGGGAGATTTTTGATGATTTAACCTTTTTAGTTTGATGTATGTCGCGGAGTGAAATCAGTTGGAGGACCAGTGAAAACCTAGGAGCACTGGACAGCTGTTCGGTTCTAGTATGCGTGGTCTTAGCAGTGAGCACGCATAACTCTGTCAGGAGTGGAACCTTCAAGTTACGTAGAGATCAAGTAATCAGCGCGCCATAATTTCTATCCACGGTCTGCATTATTCAGAAAGCAAAAGAAAATTTTAAATATCTTATTATATTGTATCTAGCTGTTCAGAATGGTCGGAAATTTCTGAGTAAGATGAAGCAGGTATATCTCCAAGGTTTTTCATGAGTGAAATAGTGAGATTCGGACCAGACGGAAATATTTCAGAAATAGTCTCATCTTCGAAAAAAAATTAGCTCCATTTGGTGATTTGTGAAGATTGGTTGGTTTCGTAATGGCTTTCATTTCTGATTAACCTCAGCCAGATAAACATTAAAAACCTAGGTGCACTGACAAAATGTTTTGTTCTAGAATTATACTTCGCTGGAGTGTGTGCTTCCATCTTCTTGAGAAATCGTATTCAAGTTGTAGATTGTTCGCTTTCCTAGAAGATAATCAACCGAGGTGAAAATTACCTAAAACAATTATCTCAATGAACATAATTAGATTAGAAATGAGCTACTTGAGGTTGTTGAAGCAACTGTATGTCTATTTTTGGTCAAAGAATTAGTGTCAACTGGCACTCAATTCGTCCTTCGATTACGTTGTTTGAATCTTGTGTCAGTATTGGATAACCTTGAGGAAACGCATCCAGATACATCCTAATGTATGTGAGTTTCAGCAAAAATCTGTGTTTTTAGCTCAAACAATTACACTTTATGTATTCAGTCAGATTATTTGTATTTTGATATTGCCATTGATGACAGACCTAGTAGGTACGCGAACACCATGAAGTGTATTTTGAAGTGATTTGTCAAAAGTGTTACGTGCTAAAAGTAGATTCGCTTTCACATATGTGTTTAAAAATGAACAATTCTGGAGAAAAACGAAAATTTAAGTTTACTATTTTCGTGTTAATTTACTTTTTAAGGAAGATCGTTGGTACACATGAGTTCCACTGGGAAGAGGTTTGTGCATTGGTACTATTCAAAATGATGGATTTTTGATGATGAAGTTCTTCATACTATTCCATGCTATACTTGAATTTATTTAAAGCTTACGTGAATTTCAGGAAGACGTCTGATTTCGAATCTTATTCTTACCTTCTTTAACGACATTATCCTGCAAATTAGTAGAACAGCAGATCGGCATATCCAAAATGAGATCTCTTAAATTACTCAGTATACTGTTTAATCCTTCATATTGATTAAGAAGAAATTTTTTGTTACAACAGAGTATTCTGGTTAGATGCTTTGAGTTAATTGTCAATCAGCGTTATCTAGGATTTTGAGTGTATACTAGTTTCCAAACTGTCTTCTCTACTAGGGATTTATTTTCGACATGTAATGAAAATAGTGAATTTTTATTACTGGAAATGATTACTTTAAACAGATGGTTTGCTGAATATAAGTTTTGTTTACAAGTTGGAAACATTTTCAGAATAATCCCTTCATTTTGATGTAATTGATCCTTGTTCAGTTGAGTCAAATGAACTGTACAAATATATTGATGAAACTTCATCAAAATAACGAGAATTTATGACAGATATATTTATATATTTTTGAAATGAATGGGGATATTAATTTGGAGGTAGTATTCATCATGAAGTGACATCAGTTGGGTAACCATTGGAAACTTTGGACCACTAGGCAGCTGGTTAGTCCCAGTGTAAGACTCTTCAGCAGTAGGCATCCAAGTTTTCAATGGTTCCCCATTTTATGTCAGTCCATGATGGATACTACCTCTAGATATACCTCTAGATGGATACTACCTCTAGATACCTCTGTTTCACTGATTGGTCACTCAAGGGTAACCAAACCCATGTTGCCTATTCCTTAGTGCTGATCAAATTCTACCGATAATTTTGGAGTGTGGTCACAAGACTAGGAAGCATTTTGAAGCTGGTTACTTTCCAGTGACCGTTCAGTGATTCTATTTCTGTCCCATAGGATGTCGATCGTGACCAAGATAGCTCAGCATTAGGGTCAGCCTGCAACACAGAGTGAAGCGGGTTCGAATCTCAGGAGGGACGTCACCATATATTCGACGCCCCAGGTACGCCATGCTGACGAGTGCCAACAAGCATGAAGGTCAGTTGGAACATGTCTTCCTGCCGACTGCTTCCATCCAACAAACACATTTTTATTTTACTTATGAGAAAAGTTGTCATTTTTATACTAATCTACAGTACGAGCACATGAGGATTCAACTTCGGTTACATTCTTCTTATCGTTTTAGCATTCACATGATCTCTCTGTGGTTCAACTTCGAAGTTTTGTTAACAGTCGAAATGCTGAAAGGAGTGGATAACTTCGCTAAGTAGTTCATTTACATTAGCCAGCATTTATCAAGAAATATCGCTTAAATATTATTTAACGGAAAACGATAGAATCAATTCTCTGTCGGAATAGCATCATCCACTAGGAAGTGGGTGTATCTAGGTAAAGAGTCTTAAATAGGGCAAAACGAGCTTTCCGAATTCCATCTCAAGCTCCCACCTGTCATTATTAGAGTATTACATTATTTGCTATTTTGTGTTTGTATCATTAAAAAATTTCTGAGGAACAGACGATAAACATTTGATATCACAAAACTGTTTGGAATAATTCACAGTTAACAACTAACAAATCCAGTCATCTTTTTAGCAGTCATTGCTATCACGAACTTACTGTTTGTCTTAAATATAGTAGCAAAATGAACTATTAACCATGTTAACCAAACTTCTGTCGATAACTCTGTTATACAATATCCACTTTCTTCCTGGTCAACTAATTTGAATTGATCTAGCTAAGTTCACTTTTGTGAACTCCATGCACTAGCGTTATCTTTGAGTTATTTTCCTCTCCTTTTTTTCCTCAAATTTATCCTCCTCATTACACAAAGATATATACTAACTGTGACTATGGATTGTTACTTCCTGACTTCTTGTTCGCTTCTTGACTAGAGTTTCTACACTATTTTATACATTTCGTCTGTGGCCTCAAAAGTCATTCATTTAATAATCCTAGCACTCTTGGTTACTATAATGTGTCCACAGCTGATGAGAAGCTATAAAATAAAGCAAATTAATCCTATTTTGCTACATAAGCCTTAGGTATTCTCTTAGCTGATATGTGAACAATAGTGATGGATTTATAGTTACAAATATAAGTTTGTTCCACTTGGAATGAAGAAATATTTTGATTTGTTAGAGACTAAATGTCCCTGAGCTGTTTTTGTGCTCTATAGATATTTGGTAGTATTTCGCCCCTAAAACTTCGAATTTCATTTAATTCCTTACAAAATGTATAGAGTTTAATAAAAATGCTTTTAACTTTGCAGAAATTAAGCATAAATAATCTTTATGAAATCATTTTACTGTGCACAAATCACTAGTAACATAGAAGTATTTCAATTCTTTTGCTGCCTAATTCAAATAGGTAAATTTTTCACTCACGTAGACCGATTAAAAAGCATCATTTACAGCATTTCAGATCTGATCAAGTCACTATCTTTTCATTTTTTCTAAATAAAATACAAGCAAACAAGAATAAGTTTTTTGACCACTCAAAATAAGCGATTTTTCATTTTTAGTAGTGATAGTAGTAGTAGCCGTCTAATGAACCAATAAAATGGCACTGATTATTTTAGCATAAGTTGATTACTTTTGGTATAAATTTCGCCAGAAAGTTGAAAAATAAATTATTTTAAAGTTCAAGAAAAAGTCAAAAACTCTTCATTCATAGTTTACTTTCTGTATAGGTTGTGTTCATCTGGTAGGTCCTTCTATGTATATAAATTTTATGCTAAAGTGTATTTCCATACAACTTCAAGCATTTTCAACATATTACTCATTTTATCATGTTTGTTAAAAGTTAAGACCCACTGTTTGCAATTTAAATGAATAGTACAGTTCTAGGTTGCTACGTACTAGTTTTAAAATTCATTTTATCGAAGATTAAGGAGAATCATTCAGCGATGTGTACCATAAAATGGTCTCAGAATGGAGTTGAAATAACAGCTTCACTGATCAAACGTAGTACCGAGTGAAAAAGTTAAAATATTTGTCGATTAACATTACTTTTTAAACCACTTTATTGGAGTATGTTCTCAGTAGATTTTCCGACAGAAGAAATATTTTTAGTTAACGAATGGCTAAAATTTTAGCACGGCTAGAACAACAGGTTTGGTGGAATACTGTGAATTCATTGTATTTTGCCGCTTTCTTTTCAACTTCATATAGGCTATAAGTTCATAAGATATATATATATATATATATATTGAGGGAAATAAAATCTACATAATTCACCTTTCAGGAAGATATCAGTCCACTGATGCTATGGATTAGGGTGGTTTAAATGAAATAATTTGTGATGACTAAGATTGAAGTTATCTAGTGTTTATATCGTCAGATTCTTATCCTACTACATGTGACCAATCAAAATGGAATAGAAAGTATTACGTAAGTGTACGTTATAAGTTTATATGAGTAAATATGGAGTCAAAGTGTTTTGTATGGCTTAAGGTCAAGTCAGACACGGTCAAGTAGTACGCTGGTACAGATGAAATAAGAATAGATTGTGAATCTAGTTTTAAAAGAGTATGAAAATATAGAGTTTTGGAAGGAGTGATAATGGACGACGAAGCAGATCAGTGGCTACCAGGGCGGTTGGAGGCTAACAACTGCCTCCCTTTGGATGTAAAAGTTCGATGTAATTCTTCTGATGGTATTTGCTTCTGCGAAAATTAGTAGCTTAGCATTGTTTTATTCTGCAATTATTTTAAATACTTTCGAGATTTGGAAGTTGTGTCCTGTGTACATCAGATGTTTAGCAATGGGACTTTTAAGGCACTTTGACTCCTTTGAACTTAACTTATTTGGAATATTCTCATGGATCAAGTCTCAGCCCTCCTCTCTGTCCTTCCAATATACGTCCTCTGATATGTACATGGAAGATGGTAGATATAATTTGAGGTGATATGAAGCGGAAACTTGTCGTCTTTTGATTGTTGTAGAGAACAGTTTGTTTTAGAAATTAATTTAGCTACTGGAAAACTGAGTTTAAGTAGTTTTTATTCTTCTATCGACCCGGTTCATGAGTTTGAACCCCCTGAAAGGTAGATAGAGGAATACAGGTTTCTTCTCTGGATTATCAACAACACTTGTTTCTGCTTCGCTCATTTTGAAATTATCTATAAATTTCTTAGGGTGATCATTTTCTTTTGGACATCTCTCGATGAACTGAATTTCTTTAGTCAGTTTGTTCGATTCACAAAGTTTCTTAGCTGTTTGAAATAGAGCTTCAACTAGTCCTTGCTTATAACTTATAGGGTGAAAACTGTTGAAATGAAGATATTGTACACTCTTTGTTTCTTTTCTGTAGAGAGATCTCTGATATAACCCATCTACTCTCCGATGAAGTCCCAAGTCCCAAAAAACGAAATTCACTATTCGTCTCGTATCCCATGGTAAACTTAGCATTCGCATGTACGTCACTGAATATTTTATCAATGTTAACACATGATTCATGTCATTCCACAAAACAGACGTATCACAGTTATGTCACCAACTGACTATCGTCTTGATAAGAGAATTACGTGGATTTCACTTCTCTCTGTATATAGCTTATGAACTTAAGCTTGTACTCAGTCGAAGAGGTGGCGAAATACAATGAGTTCGCTGTATTTTGCTAAACTTGTTGTTTTAGCTTTGCTAAAAATTTTGGAAGTGAACCAATTGCCTGAAATGGCTAATAGATGACAATCACTGCTATAATCGAATCTAGTTGCTGATTCGATCACATAATCCATTCGATCTCAAGTTGTGCCTAGTTTTTACTTGCCAAACGTGATTTAACGATCTTTTGGTCTTTCAGTTGTCACTCAGCTAAAGTCACTTTGTGACAAAAACATCCATGGTTGCATTATACTAAAAAAAAGATGTATCAACATTCAGAATGGAGAAATATTTCTAAAGATTCAAGGCTTTCTGTCAACTAATTAACAACGTAAAATCCGTTACCAGCCTACGTACAGATTTCAATTTTAAAATTCTTAACATTATGAAGCATCTGTAGCATCTATAGATGCTTCTATATGTACGTAAATATGAATTGAATTTGGAGATGACTGACCTAAATATTTAAGGATAAATTAAAAACTACGTATATCACTTAAACATTGATGGTAGTTTTCGCCCTATTAAATGTTTAAATGATTTTATCCAAACAAACAAGAACTTTATTTTGATTTATTATCAGTGGTCATTGAAAATATTTTCCGTTTTCAAAATATTCGTGTTTAGCATAGTTTTAAAACCACAACTAAGTCACGAATTTAATGAAAACGGAAATTAGTAGTTCTGGTGAGTATAACTCTGATCTCAAACTACTGGGAACCATAATAAATAGACACTTATTGTCTAATTTCTTGATTTGACAGTGAATGTTATGATTATTAGTTTTCTATGACCTTAGGTAGATGATAGTTTTCATGATATTTATGTCTAATATGATTCCTAATTATGTTCGTCAAATACTCTGACATCTAGTGTTACACCATTAATGTTTATTCCTGAAATGTTGAATGCGTTTTAGATTAGGTGATGGGTTACTTCATGATAAAGGGGTAAATATTACACTTTTGGCTTCATCTAATTTGTGTTCTGGAGTTAATCCTTTTTATAAGGATCTAAGTTTGATGAAATTTTCTACGGGGATATTCAGGGAAAAGCTTCGGTTTACTTTCATTAACGGATGAATTACTAGACTGACAGTCGTTTATGGAGCAATTCAAGATGACTATCAAATAAATAAGTTATATGAGAACTGCTTAAATTTGTTTGCCAAGTTTGAAAATCAGTCGTTAGCACAAGTACTCATCATTCTGTTTGTTTCAGAAACTGCCTCTTTCATCTATGAGAAAATTTTTCCCTTAGCATGTACTATTACATTATTAATCTTTTTGACTTGTGATAGTACTTTTTGCTTGCTTTTCGTTGAAGTGGATAGGTGAACTGATATCCTGAAGAAATTAGTTTTAGAACACTGGCTCAATAATTTTATGAATACTGAACAAGATTTGACCGGATAATTTCACTAATATTGTGCGCTTAGTGAATAGTTAACATTAGATATTAGTTATACTTGAACAAACCTCAGTGTGTTTAAAATAAGAAATACCAACGTTTTGCAAGGAAGTCTGGTCTGAGCTTCTTCAGGGAAATAATCAAAATCTACATTATATATATATATATATATATATATATATATGTATATGTATATATATTGAATACTTCAGTTTTAAGTTATTACGTACCACCCGGTGGTCACTGGTTCGAATCCGGCCGTCGACCAAATTTCCATTTCATCTTCAGTCATCACCCAGTGTAAATACGTCTACCAAACTAGGGCTGTCTCAGATAGTCAAATGATATATATGTATATATGTTGTATCCCAGATACTGGTTAGTACGAATTAAGAGAGGTCATATGTGTTATAATTGCCAATGCATAGACAATATGCACCTGTTGTAAGTATGTGGTACAAAACATGTCATTTGTATCTGTATAAAAACAAAATGAACTGATGTAGATAAAATTAGGCTGTCTTTTTCCTTTGTTTCTTGGTTATAGAATAAATAATACTAATAACGAAGAAAAATATAAATGCAATTGGAAGCAAAATGTCCATTGTGGATGATGATGACAAATTAGCGCAAATGGTAAAAGTATAAATCTGTGATTACTGCTAGTGTACATGACTTATGTTTGTACTTATATCAGTGATGGATAGTGGCTTGCAGCGTAATCTAGGTGGCGCATTTAGTCTTATTTGGGACTTGTCAGCAGGAACTACCCTCATCCCAGTGAGTGAAACTGTCTCCGTAGGAACTCGAACTTAGGACCGATCACTTCAAACACCAGAGCGTTATTCACTAGACCAGCGAGCCACAACAGCCACTCCTTGTGCGACGGGTACAGTTTTTTTATACAAGCAACAACATTATGTTTGTGCTTACTTAGTTTTATTAACGTCTATATAGACGTTATTCACCATGGAGTACCCAGCTCCACTCCGTCCCGTCGATTCAAACTTGAGATTAGCCCACATATGTAGGGCCTTACAGTCAGTCTTTCTTGATACAACACAAAGCCTTTTTTGTAGAACTTCGGTTCCATCGAAATCAATTATTGGTCCCATTTCTATCAAATTTAATAGTGTCGCTGATCCATTCCCAAATCTCTGATTGTCTGTTGAGATCTTAGGAACTTGTTTCAGATATTGTCTATCTTCCTTTACCCTCATGTTCACTTGCCTGGATGTTTCTCCTACACATATTGCATCACAGTCTTAGGAACGTATTTCTCAGACTCCTTTCTGCTGACTTTTCAGTCGGCATAACGTCTTTGATCTTCATCAAAGTAGAAGGTAGATTATTTGCTGTATGTAAACAAACCTTTATATCATCCTTGCTAAAAATTCTGCTGGTTTCCTCCAATGTCTCTGCGATATGGAATCACAGCAGTGTTGATGGGTTTCTTCGGAGAAAATTTCAAACTATTCTTCAATTCATTTTCCATGATTATCCTAGCAAATCCATCAGGGTAGTTTTTTGCTTTACCTGTAGATCGAATCAACTCACTATTTTTTTTATCGCTTTCCACTTTCATTACATGATTGCCTTATTTTATAACAGTAAGTCACTTTTATGAATTTTGATGGCATAGTTAGAAGACAAAATTTATCTGAACAATGTTATGTGTGTGCGTAATAC